ACATTTTTAATAAGCTTTCAGGCGCCTCCACACCCTCTCCTGCTGCTCATCTAGGAGCTGCACTTCAAATATCAAGGGTCTGATCTGGTGTGACCTCATTATCATCCTTACCTCCTCTGTGGTGTTGGACTTTGCATAACTTCCTGAAGCTCTCATCCCTGGCTTCTGTGAGTTTCTCACTTATACATATACATACACTTAAACATATTGTGCTATTACTTGAGTGTGAGAACACAGCTTCAAGCCTGCTCTGTAAAAATCTAGTGCATGCTGACTTGTCATGAGCATAGTCTTCATCACATAAGTTAAAGTTGACATTGGTGACAGGATTTCTACATGATAGTTATGGTTATAAACTGAAGATCAGTCTTCAGATTTGTACTATCCAAGCGATTGTCAGTGCATCACTATCTTTAGTGTTTAAATACAATTATTGCAAACCATCTTCTCTTTTAAAAAGCATATTTATTAAGAGAGAAAAAAACACCCTCAGCAGTATCTCATGCCATGATCCTTCTCCCTGCCTGTTCCAGCTAGCGAGGATCATTGGCACATACATGTGTACTTGACAAGTACAAGTCAATTCAGGAACCAAACCCGAGTCATCCATATTATAGCTTTCAACATGGCAGAGTTTTGCACTACAATGGCACCACAGTGGCTAGGCCTGCAAACTATCTTCTTTTTATTTCCTTTTTGTGCCAGACGGTGAATGTGTGCACAGAAAAGAGAGAGAAAGAGAGAGAGAGAAAATATCTCCCAATGTGGCCTGATCACACCACAATCTTTGGTCCTCTCGTTCTCCATCCCATCAGGATACCAGGCATACATGCATGTACCAGCGTGTTTTATAAGCCACTTGGGCCAGGTCTTGAACACTGGTTGCCCATGGAGGATCTGGCTTCCTCTGCACAGCACTCAACCACTACATTATGGGGCTGGCCTCATCCCATGTTTTAATAAAAGACAGGCATATACCATTACAGAATACACTTATTGCACATTTAATTATATATTTAGTTTCTTTGTAAAGTAATCTCCTCTGAGATCCCCATCCCTTTTGCTCCACCAATCTGCATGGGAACTGCCTACAGCTGATTGGTGCAGAGGTGAGCCCCAGCCAATGGTGGGTTGTTTTGAGTCTTTTCCCAGGACTTTTGGACTAGAACTGAGAAACAAGTCAGACTCTTTCTCTCTTCAGGGAACAGAGGTCAAGAGCATATATACATAGAAGCTGCTGGGATCTACATTTGGCAATGTGGTTGAAGAGCAGAAAACAACAGCAAACTTTATGAAAGAAGACTGACCAGGACACCAGGAGAGCATGAGAAAATAGTTCCACAGTGCGACACCTTGACAACCTTATACATCTCCACACAGGCCAAGTATGCAAGGACTGACCACAGTCTTGGAAGAATGCCTTTTTCCCAGTGAAAAGGAAGATAAGCAGCTGGTGAGCTGGTGAGAGGTAGTTTCTCCTCCTTATCCTGTGAAAGCCTGTCACAGGCTATTTCTCATCTATCTCTCTATTCAGTTGAATATAAGACTTTTCACCTCACCCCTACTTAAGCTATAGCTATAGACCTCAACATAAGTCTAGGAAACTGCCCGACTATGGTTTAGAGGTAGTTCTTTAGCAGCAGAATGACTCCCATTCATTCCTCATCTATCAACTGGTCACTTCAGTTCACTGTTGTCTGAAGTATTAGGGACATAGAGAACTGACCATGATGACTCTTTCTTGCTGCCTGTGTAAGTAACAAACTGTCTGAATCCATTTGGGCATATTTACTCTTTACCAGACAAACCCGTGAAAGCATGGGAAGCCATCCTTACAGCCGTAGTGGTAATAATGGGTTGTCAGAAAAGTCATGACATATTTTTGCATGGAAAAACAGAAAAAATACATCATGACTTTTCTAACAACCCAATACTTGTGACCCTAATTTTTAATGTTTATTATTCTTGTTATTTTTTTAAACATTCGATCGCTATACATCATTTGGCTTGTAAAGAAAATTTATCCAACATGAAATACATCTAGTCCAGTCAAGACTGTTATACACGTTATCATCAATAAGTAATAAACCATTTCTGTGTCCCACAAATGTCTTGCCTCTCTATTTTTTCCCCTGATTTCCTTCCCTATACTCCTCCCTTCTCCCAATCTCCTTCCAGTCTCCAGCATCTATCCCTGCATTTTGGGGACCCTATTATTAGCCACCATTATTAGCTGCCTTGGGAATATCGGAGCACTTGACAAAGAGAAGAAGTAAGAGAGGGGGAGAGTTCATTTCCTGAGTTACCTGATGTCCTCCAGTTCCAAACTCTAGTTTGCTGCAGGAA